GTGTATCAAAATATATTCTAAATTAACAATTATTAAAAATCGACTTAATAAGCTTGCAACTGCTTTCATTTATAGCAAATGTCAAAAATCGATCTTATGAAAGTTCATATAAAAATATCAGCGACAGATTCAATTTTGAATTAGAAATATTCTTTTATACTTTTTATAACAGTCAACTATTTGAAAGTTGAAAATGACATTTGTGAAACATCACAAATCGAACTTGTTTTTTTTTAGTTGAATTTGATAAATTTCTAGTCGTATAATAGCATTGAATTTTTAAATTCTCCATGGCTACTTACCTCTAAATAATAGTTTGGTTGTACTACTACTACTACTACTACTATAGATTATTTTAGGATCAGAATATTTAATAAAATACTAAAGCAAAATTGATAAGTAAAGAGATTTAAAAGATATTAAAATAATGTTAATTAAGTAAAAATTAGTATTTGTTCGTTTTAGTCTCTAGATGTTGATTCTTATTGCGTTGTTTACTATGATTTTGATGATAGTGACAATTTTTGTAATCTTTTATTATGAGAGTTTCCATTGATTTTGTTCTCATTCGTACTTGGTACTGACAATAATGCCCTGCAATGATAAATAATAGTAGATTAATATTGTTTATTATTAAAATTTCATATTGTTATTTATCAAAAATATAGATAATATGAACTAGGAAAAAAATGTTTTTTTTTCTCTCTTACATTGCAGGACTTGGTCCAACAGAATTTTTTCTATTCGTAACCAATGATGGAATCATTTTCATTGATGATTCTTTTGTTGACTTTGGATCTTCTTCTTGTTGTTGAGAACTAACATACGGAGATAATGACGGTGGAGATTCGACTCTAATTGGCGAATATGAATGTCTAACATTTAACGTCTAAATCGATATGAAAATGAATTCTATATTCAATAGTTAGATATAAAAGTAGTATTCCTTTTTTTTCTTTTGTTAAATGAATATTAGAAAAAAAAACAAAATCTCTCACCAAAGATGAAAGGCGTCTTATTTTTTCATTGACTGTCATCCAAGGATTTTGTTTTGTTATTGTTGGTGATGTTACCATGTCTAGTGAATTTATATTTTCTGTACTTTTTGTAGAACGAATAGATTGGTTGGATCGATGAGGAACATTTAATTTATCCATCATTTTTGTTATCTTGGGAACATTAAGATGTTTCGATGTTATTTGTTCTCCAATGTTTGAATTTTCAATGGGTATATTATCATTATTGTCATATAATGCTGAAAATTCATGTTTAGAATAAGAACCAAATATTTCAGAAAGTTTTGTAAGATATTCATTTTTTAAACGATATCTTTGTTCAATAATACGTTTTTGAAAAAAATCTTTCTTTAAAATTGTATTCATTGTATTTAAAATTAATGTAAGAAAATAATCACGAAATGATTGATCATGTTTAAATATACCACCAGATGGATCAACTATTTGTTCAATATCAGTACGACGCCAAATTTCAACCTAAAATTAAAATTAATTTGAATTATTCTCTGTCTTCCAATTGTAAATAAAATCAAACTTTATAATAAAGATTGAATTCATTATAAATTGGTTTCACTATAATAAAGACTTGTGTTACTTTTCCAAGAAAAAAATCTGGTTGAAATGAAATATTATTTCCTTGTTGAAAAACAATACATATTAATGCATTAGAAATTAAACTTTTACGTTGAATAAATTCACGATCATTTTTATCTGATGGAATCATTGGTGCTACATTAAACATAATTTGATGATTTTGATACGTAGCAAAATAAGAATAAATTCCATGTTGATCAGTTTTTACATCAAGATCACCACGATATTTATTAAAATTTTTTAATTGAACAAGTTCACTAATTAAATTTAGAAACGTTTCCATTTCAATCGACATTTCATTGTTACTTAATATTTCAATTTCCTTTGATTGATTTATATCTTGGTAAACAATACCAACTTTAATTGAAAGTTGTTCATCATTATATTTATCAAATTCAAGAATTTTTTCATTTGCCTTAATAAATAATATACATTAAATCATGTTTAAAAATAATAACAAATGGAAGAGAAAGGAAAAATATTAACAGATAGAAAATCTTCTATTCTATAAAAATTCTCTATGTCGAATATAGTTAAAAATAACAATCAGAAAACTTTTCTATTCAAGTGTTTCTTGATTTTTATTTAGATAAAACTACGAGTATTATTGAAATTCAACATTTGCAGCATTGAATTAATATTATTGTCGGATTTTTTTAAAAAATAGCCTTTACCATTCTACGAAAATGGACAACGAAAAAAAAATGTTCGTTCAAAAACATTCAGTGAAAAACTTTCTCAAACACTATGAATTTTATATAGATAGATGTCCCTTCACTTGCTCCTTCTAATGATGAAAATCTGAGATCGATAGTCATAAGAGATCGAAAGTTATTCAGAAAATGGTGCAGACTATTTTTAAAAAAGCATCCAATAATAGTTCTCTATTTGACTGTGTTAAATTGACTAACGAATAATTTACTACTAAAAGATTCTTGTTAAAATGAAGGAAAGTCATGATGAAAGTTAAGTTAGAAGACAAAAATTTGATATTTGCTTCTTCTATAGTACTACTACTTATTGTCATTCTACATTACTTTTTATAAATAATAAAGCAACGTAAAAGCATCAGAAATATAATTTCTCGGCGAAGTACATTAGTATATTTATGTTTAGTAATTTTCTTACTGTGATATCGCGAATAAGCTCAACATGACAAATAGGTGATAATTCAGTTTTGTCTAATAGAAATTGTAAAATGTTGTCTTCATTTTTGACACTGATTATTCCTGACACATCATAATTGTTCTTCTGTGTACTTTAATAAAATAAAAATAATTTAAATAAAACCTTCAAAATATTTAGGTATACTAAAAGTAGTGGCCACCCCATCTTAATTGCTTGTAGCCTGATCAAAAAAAAATTTCTTTTTTTATGAACAGATAGAGCATCTTTTGCTCTATCTTTCTATACTAAATGATCACTATTCAATTGATATAATTTATAAAAATTTCCAGAGAAACTTATTTTGTGGAAGTCCAACTGGTACCAGTAATGCATATTATCATTCATACATGTTGTCTTTTCATTTTTCTCCTCTCTTTTCTAGAAAACACACGCTATATTTTTCTCTTTTCTTCTCTTATGTTCAGGTCATCTAAGTGCATTTTCTCTTTTCTGTTCTATACTATTCTCTCTCTTGATGGACTCATCTCATCACTTTCCTTTGATTTGACTTATGAACTTCTGGAATATTCTTCGATATCTGAGCTCAGGAATATAAACCTTCTATTTTAGACGAGTAGTCCAGTTTTGTGCATGTTAAGCTTGTAATGAATTTGATTTAATAAACGACTCGCAACAGGTCACTTAATAAGGGTTAAGCTTTAACACTATTCATTCGTTTTAAATGAATAAAGGAAACTTTCACTATTACATTAAAGTACGTACCGCACTTAATATTCCAGCAAGTGTTATTTATGATGAACTGTATCCTGTGCATGGTGATCAAGCTCCTTCTTATAGAACAGTTAGAAGATGGGCTCAATGGTTTCGTGAAGGCCGGGAAGAAATTGAAGATGAAGCACGACCTGGCAGGCCTATTACCGAAACAGCATCTGAAAACATTGAACAGATCCGCCTTCTTATTGATGATGTTCCTCACATTACAATAGAAGAAGTGCAAGAGCAAACTGGTTTAAGTCATGGCACCCTTCAGCGAATCATCACCGATCATTTAAACCTTAAGAAGGCTGCCGCTCGTTATATACCCAAGGATCTAACTGACTTTCAACGGGCTGAACGAGTTCGAATATGCAAACAAAATTTAGCAAAACTTCAAGAAGGAACATGGCGTTTATGTGATATAATAACTGGTGACGACTCGTGGTTTTATCATACACAAATTGGTCGAAAGTCATCAAATGCTGCGTGGGTGAGAAGAGGAGATTCTCCACCTACTGTAGTTCGACGCGATAAGTTTGCTCCGAGAACCGTATTTTCCATCTTTTTTAAGTCGGATGGCCCTGTTTTAATTCATCCTGTGGAACGAGGACAAACGATTGATCACGACTATTACATCAACAATTGTTTACGTCCACTTGTCGATGAAATCAAACGTCAAAGACTCTCATATGGCACCAGTCGTATTAAAATTCACCACGATAATGGAGGAGAACATATTCATGAAGATGCGTCCAAATATCTTGAATCAGAACGTCTTACAATAATACCACATCCTCCTAATTCTCCAGATTTATCACCATGTGACTTTTGGTTGTTCGATTTAATTTAAAAAAATCGAACTGATCAAAGCGATTCAGAATCATTATATGATGCTGTATGCGATTTCATGTATTATTTAAATAGAGAAGAATAGACAAAAACCTTCAAGAAATGGATTCAAAGAATGCAATTGTGTATAGAGAACCAAGATGATTATTTTGAACATTTGATAAAATAAAAATTGTTGAACTTGTTTCGGTATTTCTTTTCTGTTTCATCACCATTATGTTTTTGTACGGTGTAAAATATATGGACGACTAGTTATTAGAAGAGATAAGAAAAAGAAGATGGAAGAAAGAAGAATAGAAAAATAAATAAAAACGAAAAGACAACATGTATGAATGATAATATGCATTACTGGTACCAGCTGGACTTCCACAAAAATAAGTTTCTCTGGAAATTTTTATAAATTATATCAATTGAATAGTGATCATTTAGTATAGAAAGATAGAGCAAAAGATGCTCTATCTGTTCATAAAAAAAGACATTTTTTTTGACCAGACTATAAGCAATTAAGATGGGGTGGCCACTACTTTTGGTATGACCTAAGTAGAATAATATTTATAATTATTTAAATATTCTTAAAAGAAATTTTTCTGAAATTTTTTTCTAGGTGGATCGAATTGAAGTCTGTTTTTTTTAAAAGAATTTTTTTTTTTAGAAAAACATAACCCAACTTACCGAATAATGGCTTGAACTAAATATTCATTTTCATCATCATTTGTCACTAGATAAAAAGATGATAATTGTCTACGTATTTCATATGGTTTTATTCGAATAGATCGAACAGAAGCTAAAAATAAACCTTCACGTACAAGTTCACCAAAATAATTCATATGAAACTATAAATAAAATGAATTTGGTTTTTTAATTTTGAATTGAATTTTGCAGCTTACATGATTAAAAAATTCTTCTTCATATCGTTGTGATATACATAATGGTGCTTTTAGTTGATAATGAAGTGTTTTTTCTTGTTGACTATCGTTTACAGTTTGTTGAAAAACAAATAAACCTGACGATGAAGGTTCTTCATCTGAATCAGTTGATGTTACAGTACCATTAGTATTTAACCGATTTAAATTGACTTCATTCATATTGAATATTAATATAATCTCTAAAGCTATTTCAATGTATGGTTTTTTTTTGTTTTCAACAATTGTTTTTCATGTTGTTAGTTACTACGCGTAAAAAAACAAATAGTGAGTATGTGAAGATGAAACGATGTTTTTCTGTTCTAGCAAAATAAATAAGACACTATGCACATAATACTAATAGTTATATGTGGGTTAGTGATAAAGAAAAAAGGATGACTCATCTATCAGCAAGATTTATTCAAACGTAACCGGTCATGTGATTAATAAACCTTTTTGACAAAGCATATTTTGATGATTTTCTAAATTTTTTCTTAACGTAAATAAAAATATTTTATAACTATAGGTTTTTATTATAATATCTTTAAGAAGTTAATATGTTGATTTTCTTTTGATTAACATATTTTCTATATGAAATTCGTTGTTTTTTTTTAGTGACTTATTGGTATAACTGGTCAAGAACATCTATATGCAGTTATATGTTATAACTGAAAGAAAATTGTTCGTTCATTCAACCTGAAAAAAAAATGAAAGATTGTTAGAAAATATTCAAAGCAAACCTTGAGAACTGTTAGGGTATGTGTGGCAGCGAGCAAAGAGAATACACGTATTCATATCCAATACGGACTGCTCTATATTATTAAGAGCTAATCGAGTGAAAAAATAATGATTCAAGTAATTTTTTTAAAATTGAAATATCTTGCCAGTTCTTGACGTAGGAAGCGACTCAATGTGTATATATTTAGGTCGTACAAAAAGTTCTGAGATTTTTTTAAAAAAATATAAAAAGAAAGAGAAAGTTCAGGCTTTATTTTATTAAATGTTCAAAATAGTCACCATGATTATTTATACAAAGTTCCAGCCTCTCTAATAGTTTGTCAAAAGTTTTTTTTAATTCTTCTTCTGGAATATTTTTTATTAGCTTGGAAATCGCACGAGCCAATGATTTTTTATCTGGTTGATCAGTTAAATTCTGTTTGATGTAATCATTTAGCCAATAATCACACGGTGCAAGGTCAGGCGAATATGGTGGATGTGGCATTATATTGATACCTTCTTCTGTTAAATAATTAATAACATCTGGATGACGATGGGGTGAAGAATTGTCGTGAAGCAATTTTATATCTTTAGTACCATTTGACTTTCTTTGTTTCCATATTTCTTCGACAACAGGCTTGAGGCAATTTTCTATATAATAGTCGTGATCCATAGTCTCGTTATTATCAACAGCATGTATAAGAACAGGACCATTTGATTTAAAGAACATAGAAAATAAATTTTTTGGTTCAAATTTGCTTCGACGAACGATAGTACGTGGCGATTGACCTTCGCCAATCCAGGTTTTGTTTGTTGACTCGTGATGAATCTGCCTATGGTAAATCCATGTCTCATCACCTGTAATAATATCACATCATCGCCAGGAACCATCACGAAATTTTGCTAAATTTTCACGACAAAGTCAAACTCGTTCTTGCTTTTGTTCATCATTCAGTTGACGGGGTATCCAACGAGATGTAACTTTTTTCATCTTGAGATAATTGTGGATAATTTGTTCTATGGTACCACGAGAGAGAGATGTCTCAGCTATAATATCTTCATAAGTTGAATATGGATCATTGTTGATAACCTATCGTACTAATTCAATATTTTCATCTGTAAGCACGGAAACTGGACGACCAGATCGAGAATCATCATTGACATCTTCTTTTCCTTCACGGAAACGTTTTGCCCACCTTGCAACTGTTTGATATGATGGAGCATTGGGTCCCAAAGCTGTTGCAAGTTCTTCATGGATTGTCTTTGCATCTATTTCCAAAATAGTTCGAATTTTAATATAATATCAATTGAGTTCATTATCCATTTTCGAAATTTTTTTTAGGTCGAATTAAAGTTTATCTGAAAAAATATTGTAACTAAGTCCAAAATAGAGTTAGTATATACAGGGTGTCTGAAAAGTAGCTAGCTATTTTAAATTCTTTGTTACTCTCAAACAACAAAAGATATCATCCTGGTTTTTTCACCGTTTTGAAGCATGGGCTATGGCATTTTGTTCTAGATGAAACAAATCGATTGATCGTTTGACTGTCTAAGATCAAGCACGAAATTGGTCTAGAGGGTGTGGGGTGGGTGTGGGTGTGGGTGGGTGTGGCTGTATCTAGCTATATCCCAATGCACTTCCACACCTACACCGACACCCCCACACACCCACACCCTCTAGGGAATATATTGATTTCGTTTTTTTTAGCCACGCAGGTAGGAATCTACGGTCGAGAACGATCTACTTGAGGCTAGCATATAATAGAACTATCATATTATTGTTAAAACTGAAATTTGATATAACTATAAAAAGATTTCCGAGAGAACATTCGTAGATCATTGTGTAGACTCCCATGAACTATTGAATGCTCAAGAAGTACCTCACCTTTGTATACATATTTTCTGTAGAGCCTTACTTTTGGCAGCGAACTCGCATATTCGAGTTTAGACTTTAAACTTTACCCATATAAAGATCTCAGCTAGAATAGTTGACATAAAAAATTTTGAAATTTTTCGGATACTCTTTCCTATGAATAGTGAATATAACATGCCTTGCTTACAAGTTTCATAACTCGGAAAGGCTTTTCAAAAAGTCTGAAATTTTTATTACAAACAATTCTAATTGAAATCTTTATTTGGGTAAAATTTCAAGTGAAAATTCGAAAATATAAATTTGCTGCAACATGAATGCACTGGAGGAAATATTCAAGTAGTGGCAGCGCCAATGGGGAAGCAGAGTCTCATCCTTGGAATTTTTTTAAAAGTTTTACAAAGAATCGATAATCTTTCATAATGATATTTCAAAAAAGTGTTTCCTGAGTTGCAGAGATTTTATTCCAGTTCTCTATTGAATGTTCACTGAAATCACTATCTTTTCTTCCGATTAAATCACAATCTCTAGAAATGCATCTTGGCAAACGTGGAACTATAGAGTCCTTTTTCTCTATCTTATAATAATAATAAAAAATCATGTAATGATGAACAACAAATAAAATTGAACGTTATTATTTCTT